AAATGGATAAATCGTCAATGCCTTATTTCCCATACATGAAACAAGAGCCGGGAAAATAAGACCGACGGAACCACCCAACGACGCACCCCTCTTCACCATCGAAGAGTTGCAAACGGCGGCAAAAAAACTTAAACCCAACAAAGCACCCGGACCAGAAGAAGTACTAAAAATAAGCAGATGTACTAAAAATAATCGCCGAAAGCCGCCCAAATGTGCTAATCGGATTGTTTAATACCTGTCTCAATGCCGGCGTATTCCCAGAAATTTGGAAAAAAAACAACAGCTCGTGTTAATCAGTAAAGGAAAAGGTGATCCAGATAGTCCATCAGCATACCGGCCTCTTTGCATGCTTGACACAGCCTGTAAGCTTCGCGAGAGAATGCTGAAACGGCGGCTTATCACCGAAACAATACGGTTTCAGACCGGGTAAATCAACACTGGGGGCTATTGAGAATGTGGTAAGGAGCGTAGAAGAAGCGCACAGAGTATGCAATAAACTCAAACGAATTGTTCTACTCGCCACCCTTGACGTTCGGAACGCCTTCAACAGCGCTCGATGGGAAAACATGATTGAAGCATTAGAAGAAAAATTTAAAATACCCGCATATCTCAGCATAATGGTGAGAAGCTATTTGGAAGACAGGGTTTTGTTGTATAAAACCTCTGAAGGACCACGACACTTGAAGGTCACGTATGGAGATGCGCAGGGATCAATCCTCGACCCAGACCTCTGAAACGTCAGTTACGACGGCATATTAAGCCTCGATATTCCCGACGATACTTATCTTGTTGGTTACGCAGATGACATCGCCGCGATAGTCACTGCGAGTGACACCGAAAATGCGTGCAGGAAGTTAAACCAGGTGATGATCAGAGCACAAATGTGGCTTGATGCGAAAGGTCTCAAACTTGCCACTGAAAAAACCGAGCTGGTACTGCTAACAAAGAAGCATATTCCGACTATAGTAGACATGAGGACAACAACAGAAACACTAAGGACACAAAACGTGGTCAACTACCTAGGGGTAAGAATAGATTCCAGGCTTACCTACAGAGCACAAATTCAACACGCTGCGAAAAAAGCGTCCATAATAACTAGTCAACTGAGCAGGCTGATGTCTAATATCGGAGGACCGAGACAGGAAAAACGGAAGCTTTTGATGCCGACAACACTAAATGTCTTGCTCTACGGAGCAGAGTTATGGGCAGACACATTAAGAAAAAATAATCGACGCAAATCCCTCGAAAAAGTGTACCGTACAGATGCTCTAATAAGGACGTTGAAGAAACAAGGAACAGAAGCTGCCGCTACAAAAGAGGAAATAAAGAGCGACACCTTGGAACAATGGTCTAACAGGGAACATGGTGAGGTGGATTTCTACACTACTCAGATGCTATCCGGGCATGGATATTTCAGGAAGTATCTATATAAAATGGGGAAAGTCGAAGAGCCGTCCTGTATATACAACGACGCGATCGAGGACGACGCTGAACATACATTTTTCAAATGCACACGCTGGCAAACGCAGCGAAATAGGCTCTACACTTTGATCGGCACCCTGAATGCGGATAACATCATAACTGTCATGCTCCAAAACGAGGAAAATTGGAAGAACGTGAAAAATTATATAGAAAACGTACTACGGATTAAAAAACATGACCTGGACGCAGGTAATGACATGTAAGTCTTAAAACGAGGAATATGGAACGCCACCCTGAAGTAATGCGAAAGCGGTTCCAGGGTGGGCGACGGTTCCCTAGAGGAGAGTGTTTTAGTGACCTACAAGTGGCACATACCATTGCTGTGACGACACAATGACGATGCGGAAAACATTTTTCTCAACCTCCCCCGAAAAAAAAAACAAGTAAGGAAGGGCTAAGTTCGGATGTAACCGAACATTTTATACTTTCGAAAAGTCAAATAGTATACTCGTTTGAGATTTCTTTGTGGATTGACTGATATTTTCGGTAGAAGGTCAACTATAGGCACTGGGGTCCACATATTTAGTACCTAGGGGCTTGAACAGTTTTGGTTCGATTTAGACAATTTTTGGCCACAAGGTGGCATACTTTAAACGTATTATTCACGCAAAGTTTTACCCCGATATAATCATTGTTGCTTGATATGCATAGTGGAAAGTGAAAGAATCAGATGGAATTGAAAATGGTGTTATATGGGAAATAGGCATTGTAGTCCGATTTCGCCCATTTTCGCACTATAACATAGAAATATGAAAAGAACGTTATGCACCGAATTTGGTTGAAATCGGTTAAGCAGATCTCAAGATATGGGTTTTCACCTAAAAGTGCGCTGTGCCACGCCCACTGTCTAAGTTTGAACGCGGTTCCTATAAAGTCACCGGACTTCAGCTCGTCTCTTCATCCTGATCATTTATATATGTATAACCCTATATCTAACTCGATTAGTTTTAGGTGATACAAACAACCGTTAGGTGAACAAAACTATTATACTCTGTAGCAACAGGTTGCGCGAGTATAAAAATATGCTATAGTGGTCCGACATCGTTCCGACAAATGAGCAGCTTCATGGTAAGAAAAGGATGAGTGCAAAATCAGATAGATATCTCTAAAACTGAGGGAGTAGTTCGGTATTATAGATACAGACGGGCATGGCTAAATCGACTCAGCTTGTCACGCTGATAATTTATATAAATATATACTTTAAAGGGTCATTGATGTTTCTTTTTGGGTGTTAAAAACATTGTGGCAAACTTAATATACCCTATTCAAGGTATAATTATTATTAGTCATTTTGTGTGAAAATAATATTATTTGATTATTTTTTACTCCAATTCCATTTTTTTTTAGGAAAACCACACGACTGATTTTAACATATCTTGCCCTTCCTGCGAAAATAACGTACGCGACATTTTGTAGACTTTATTTTTATATATTACAATTATGTGGACAATTACCAACCACAAATTCAAAACCAATTCAATCTAATGCTGATTGATATCTCAACAATTAAACGAAATAAGTGGAAGTAAAAAATATTAAAAAAAAAAAACCAAAAACGTATGAGCTTGATTCGCAGGCAAAACCACAATAAAGCCATATTAACACTAAGTATATCACACTTCTACAGGTCCATCGAACCATTTACTTGAACTCAAACAATCTGAGTTCCTAATGAGTGGACTACAAAAAATAAGATAGGCTCGAACCAACCTCCGTCTTTATGAATCAAGTAACCTGCATTATTACGGCTTATTTAATTGAAAATTACTGGCAAATACACTGACCCCAAACTCTTAACTTATGCTTCCTTCACCAGCAACATAAAAAAAATTCTTTAAATACAGTTATATGAAGAAAGAAATTGGAAAATGTTTCACTATTGACTGTGATCAAACCCCTCTACAATTATATTTGTCAGAATTAAAATAAATTATAAATATAATCATTTAAAGTAAAGTGTGACAAAAAAAATTCCAAAAAAGTTTCATTGTGAATACCTTAGCCTTAACAATCATATTAAAGCGAAATACCCTTTATCTTTAAATGAAATAGACGACGATGAATTGACAAGCATAACATTTAAATTGTATGAATTTCATTGGCCGTAAACGATAGTATTTATAAAATACACGTATATCACCTTGCGACAACTCGCACAAATAAAGTAAGTTCCAAAAGTAGCAGTTTTTGCTCAAAGTAAACCATAAGACGGATACATTATGTATGTATATACAAGTAATATCTCCAATAGACTTTATTTCGAGTTTCTTGGAAATCCGTCAATCAACATTAATCTACTATAACTAACTATAATACTATAAAAAAACATTCTCCTGTAAAATTTGACTCGTGGCGCTTACGTTATTTTTTCGGGAAGGGCTCGAATATGTGTGTACACATACTAAAAGGAATTTTTTATTTTTATTGTTATTTCACAGTTATGAACATTCTTCTTGTGTCCAGTGAATTTTGTTATTATAGCATTAGCGGTTTAGGAGATATGCACATTAAACCTATTAGAGGCGTGACAGTGGTCCGATTACGCCCATCTGCAATACCAACCGTCTCACGGCACCAAGAAACATGTCTACCAAGTTTCGTAAAGATATCTAAATTTTTACTCAAGTTACAGCTTGCACGGACGGACGGACAGACAGTCACCCGGATTTCAACTCGTCTCTTCATCCTGATCATTTATATATACATATATAACCCTATATCTAACTCGATTAGTTTTAGGTGATACAAACAACCGTTAGGTGAACAAAACTATTATACTCTGTAGCAACAGGTTGCGAGAGTATAAAAATGAAACCCCTTTTCCGTTGTCACGCCATAACTTGAGAACGGCTAAACCGATTTGGTTGTTTTTTTTTGTGTAGTTTTCTAATACTCTGTAGAAGGTTTTTACGAAAATATTAAGAAAATGTCTCAGAAAGATTGAAAAAATACATTTAATTTTGCATATTTTAAAAAATGTGCGTAACGAATGTCATCATAATTCACAGCCATAGACTATATTGAAAGAACATCGTTTGTTCAGAAATGTGGTTACTTAATTAAATTCTATCGCACTAATTTTTGAAAATTACTCGCCACAATTAAACGTACCGACTTTGACGGTAATATTAATAATACCAGTAATGATTTCATTTTAATGTAAGTATTTAATAATAATAATATATGTATAATATGAGTTAGATTTCAGAATAGAAGTTAGATTTCATATACTAACTGCAACCAAATACGAAATGCCCTAAACTTCCAGCCAATTTCAGCACCATTGTACACGGACAAAATTAATTAATTGCCCGTATTTTCCCAGTCGCACAAAATGATTATTTAAATCATAACTGGCTCGGTAACTGAGCTATATAGACAGAAAAATATGCTGAAATTAGTTTTGATAATAACATTTTACTAAATTAAACTGCTTACTTAATATAATTTAATTATACCTTAGCCACAGCCAGGCGTGGCCGGGGTCTTCTAGTTTAATATAAAATATGAAACTATACCTGCGCTCCTCGTTTTCCTCCGAGCTTCAACGATACTCATATTTTCACTTGTATGTACACCGACTGTTTTCGACAATATAGCTTTTGCTTGATCTGTGTTTTGGGCAGACAACGTCGTTGATGGCACTACGGAACTGCTTGAGCGCCCATATACATTTTTATGTATACCTGCATTGGTGCGAACACTACGTCGGGTTCCAATTTTCTCCTCACTAATGTTGTTATTATTATTTATTCTTTCCCCACCAGCAAATGCATGATTAGAATTTGTATTGCCACGAGTATAATGCAAATTAGTTATGGCCGAAATACCCGTGGAAACATTGTTATCATTCGTATTTGAGTCTCCTGAAGCTGAGGTGTTAGTCGTACCTATAAGCAAAGAACAAGTGATTATCGTTGCTTTGATTATTATTCAATCATACTTACCATTGCTATTTTTTATTGATCCAATTGTTAACGAAGATGTCGCACATTTTATTTGACTAATAGGGGAGGACTCGCTTTGTACATTTCCAATTGTGTTGACAGCAAAAGAGGTTTCTAAACGAAATTTCATACTGATATAATCACAATAAAATTATAAAACAGGGAAAATATTAGTTCTTATATCATTGTAAAGCAGATTGTCGCATTAAACCAATGCTGTTAAATTTAAATTACGCTAAGTATTGCAAACTATTACTTAAATTCGAGAACTATAATGATTAATATTATTTTTATTAATATGCAAAATGCTTATGGATACTGTTTTCAGTACCCTGAAGAACGCAGACCATATCTACGATTACATTTTTGAAAATATTCTTTACAGATAGAAATTGAATCGTTGGTTAAAATACTTTACACTTAACTTGTTTGGAGACCATTTGTCATAAATTATTCCATTGGAAAAGCTCACAAATGTTGCGTAAGAATTAAATATTCATTATTCATACGTCATAGCCACACTTAGTTTCAATATTTTGATTTGTGTCCAAAATATTTATATTAAAATCAACCTCTTTTACTGAAATGAGAAATATGTGATATAATGGTATGTGGGTACACCAGTAAAAGAGAGTCAACAAGAGAATCGGAAATCACTACTTAGTACAATTCGCAGAAAACAGTTCCGTTAATTATTATTGTAATTTAGATGCATTGTCTACTCATATATAATAATCAGTCTTTGCTTTCCCTTATTAACAATCGTAGGGCCGTGATCGCTTGCTGAGCTTCTTAAAACACTTAATATTGTTTGTTAACCGCACTATTGATAGTTTTTCCCAAACGTCTACAGTTGATGATAGTAAGAGGAGTGGTCATCCTCAGGTAGTTCGTAACCAATTCAGCTATAACAAGTAAGGAAGGGCTAAGTTCAGGGTAACCGAACATTTTATACCCTTGCAACTTGCAAGAGCCAAAGCCTGGGAGATTCCTTTAGGTGCTGGCAAACTTTACATTAAACAAGTAAGGAAGGGCTAAGTTCGGATGTAACCGAACATTTTATACTCTCGCAAAGTCAAATGGTATACTCGTTTGAGATTTCTTAGTGGATTGACTGATATTTTCGGTAGAAGGTCAATTATAGGCACTGGGGTCCACATATTTAGTACTTAGGGGCTTGAACAGTTTTGGTTCGATTTAGACAAGTTTTGGTCACAAGGTGGCATACTTTAAACGCATTATTCACGCAAAGTTTTACCCCGATACAAACATTGTTGCTTGATATGCATAGTAGAAAGTGAAAGAATCAAATAGAATTTAAAATGGTGTTATATGGGAAATAGGCGTTGTTGTAGGCACCGCCCACTTTTAGATGAAAACCCATATCTTGGGATCTGCTAAACCGATTTAAACCAAATTCGGTACATAACATTCTTTTCATATTTCTATGTTATAGTGCGAAAATAGGCGAAATCGGATTACAATCACGCCTATTTCCCATATAACACCATTTTAAATTTCATATGATTTTTTCACTTTCCAGTATGCAAATCAAGCAACAATGATTATATCGGGGTAAAACTTTGCGTGAATAATACGTTTAAAGTATGCCACCTTGTGACCAAAAATTGTCTAAATGGAACCAAAATTGTTCAAGCCCCTAGGTACTGAATATGTGGACCCAACCCAGTGCCTATAGTTGACTTTTACCGAATAGAACAAGGCGGCAAGATCCACAAAGAAATCTAAAACGAGTATACCATTTGACTTTGCGAGAGTATAAGATATTCGGTTACATCCGAACTTAGCCCTTCCTTACTTGTGTTTTAACTATTTTTGCAAATACCACATACTATTAACGTGCCACATAAAATGCTCTAAAGCATTCATGTACCTCACATACCATCACCAATCATATGGAGAAAAGTCAGCCGGATGTTCGAAAATCCTGATATAAGTTACATAGAGGCTAGGTCAAGTTTTCATCCAATTTTATACATTTTAGGCATAATACACACTCTCTCATTTTCATTGAGATAACTCACATATTGGCTGATATATGTGGTAAAAAGTTACCCGGAAGTTCCTGAATTTCAATTATATATCTCACACATTGACCGATATTTTCATTAAAAGTCAACTACAGGTACGAGGGTCCATATATTCGGTACCTAGGGGCTTGAACAGTTTTTTTTGTTTAGATTTGCATAATTTTCGGTCATTAGCTGGCATACTTTAATGCACTACTCGTGCAAAGTTTCAGAACGTTATACTTGTATTAATTGCTTTTTGATTTGTATACTAGTAGTTTTATATGGGAAGTAGGCGTGGTTCTGGTCCGATTTTTCCCATATTCGCACTGTAACATAGGAATATTAGCAAAATTATATACTAAATTTGGTCGAAATCAATCAAATAAATCCCAAGATTGTCTAATTTTTGTATTGACTTCTTTAAAGCTTATATATGTGAAATTCGTGTTTATTTATCAAAATCAAAACCGTTATATGGGGAGTGAGCGGGGTTATCACCCGATTTCACACTGTCGGTAGGGTTTCTAAAAAGAGTTGTTTCGAGAGAATTTGGTTATTATAGATTTAGCGGTTAAGGAGACATGTACATTAAACCTATTAGAGGGCGGGCCACGGCCACGTTTTCAAAATCTTTTTAACTGCCGTTGCCCCTTCTTAATGCGATTCGTTATACAAAAAAACAGCCTTTTATCTTATTGTGGAGCTTAGTTAGGGCTATTAATTTGCTTTCGATTAATAATTCGAAGGAATTTTTCTTTTACAGATATAGTTTCCCAAACCATAAGAGGTTGTGATTTGATACCTTTCAATAGCTCTTTTATCAGCTGGAATCTCAGACATACTGGTTGCATAAACGTAGTCATTTTGTGAGTTGCAGCTTGCCTCTAACACAAAAAGCTTCTCATCAGAAAACACAATCTCACTATTTGCGTTCTGCCGAAGGAGCAAATCATTTCATTCTCTTCTCACTTTCTTAAATCGAGCCACAGTACGTCGACCAAATCTGTGGTTAACATCTCTAGAGGATCTTAACAATTTCACTTGTTGTTTTTCCTTGAAATTGTAACTTTGTCACGAGCTCTCTTTTTGTTTTCGCTACTCACAAAAACTGAATACCAATTGATAAAACTTAAAATTATGTTGCGTATATTTAAAATATATGTGCCAATATAAATGTCTAACGGGAACATGTTAAAACTTAGTTGGCTCAGCCTCACGAAGTTTCAAACAAGTGCGAAGAAGTTTATTCTCTTGTAATCTCCAGGTGTTAGGAAAACTTTATATTAAAAAATGTTGCAAAACAATTCAACATTCATTATTCGACGAAATCGTAAATGGAATACAAACAAATTTGGTATATTATTAAGTTATAAAAGGTACGTTCCAAAGTAAACAGTAAAAAAGTAACAAAGTAAACTCTAGTGGCGCAATCTATATGTCGACTTCTTCTGCTATCATTTATCGACTTCCAGTAAAAATTTCATGATATTTCATCTATTGGAAGTGAAGTTATTGCGTTTTAAGTGTCAGTATGTTTTTGTCCTCGGTGCGGTGATTGACTGACGACCAAAAATTGCTCAGAATTCAACATTCGAAGGACATCATTAAAGAGGCAAAAGAAGACCTGAACTTCCTTTACAAGATTGTGACTGGTGACGAAACGTGGTGTTTTCAATATGATCCCGAAACGAAACGCCAGAGTGCTGAATGGAAGGCGCCAGACGAGCCGAAAACCAAAAAATCGCGCCTGGAGAAGTCAAAAGTGAAGACATTGCTGATTTGTTTTTATGATTCCAAAGATATTGTCCACAAAGAATTTGTTCCACCCGGCCAGAACGTTAATGCGGTATTCTACCTTGGAGTTTTGAAGCGTTTGGTATTGCGAAAATGGAAGTTGGCGTTTGTTGCACGATAATGCGCCGTCTCATCGATCGACGTTTGTGGCCGATTATTTGACCAAAAATCACATTTTAACAATCAACCACTCCCCGTATTCATCTAATATGGCACCGTCCGACTTCTACCTTTTCGGAAAAATGCATTTGCCGATGAAAGGAAAGCGTTATGCAGACGTGGAGGCCATTCAAAAGGCGGCCATACCGGGCAACGAGCTATAACACTCGTTCGACATGCTTTTGAACCGTGCAAAAAGCTGTATTAAAGCAGAAGGACTATTTTGAATAAAATTAATTGATTTTGCCGAGAAAACCATTTGTTCTGTCTTTTTTTTTAAAAGTCCGGTTTACTTTGGAACTTGTATTATAGGTCACAGACTCACTTAGTTTTACTACTATATTTTACTTCGTGTCAGCGAAAGTGGTTTTAAAATTATCTTAAAATGACATATATGGGATATAAACTCAACTGAAGCAGCTAAATTTAATATAATGAGTGGATGTTAAAACGTCAACTAGAGGATCGCAATTCATTATTTTAGATATATAAAATTTGGATCGAAGTCCAGACCAATTTTATTCATATTCCACCACAATTTTTAAGAAAACTTGTAAGGTGGAGAGTCAGGTTATATTGGGGACAAGGAAAGGAATGGGCCGATTGAGTTAATTTTGACATTGCTGAGGTATACTTGAGATCATATTATTTATTTATTTAATACACGTACGCCAATCGGCATTATACAATAGTAATAATTATATAAAATGTAAATAAAGGGGAAAAGAAAAAGATTGATTAAAATATTAGGTGTAGTAAAAAGTAATCCGTCGAATAAGTCCGATCGGGTTTGGCTAGATGGCGTTAGAAAGATGACATTTCGTACTAAAAAAAAACTTTTCTGACAGTAAAGTGATTGTTTGATTCAGTTTTGTTTGAGGGCGCGTTAAAGATAGACACTAGCAAAGAGAAAATACGCTATATTTTAGTTTTTCTTCGATAAGGGCGAAAACGCAAGCCCGTGAATAGCGTTTATAGTCCTGATACTATAACAGCTAATCACGCGCAATTGTGGTTTCGTCAATTCCGTTCCGGTAACTTCGATGTCAAAGATGCACCACGCAATGGAAGGCCAATTGTCGAAAATGTCGATAAAAAATCATGGACATTGTAAAGTCCGACCGTCAT